CCCCCCAGGCAGAGAGAGGAAAGCCAGTAGGAAGAGAGAAGAGGGGGATAGTAGGGGCCTGAGAGCCTTTCATTAATCCTGAACTTACTGGGGGTAGGGTGGGATGGGATGGGTAGTCAGTGTGAATAGAAAGACACATTTGTTGTTTTTAAAAGAAGAAAGCCCTGTACATCCCAAGTCCTGTGGCTGTGGACATTAAGGCTTCAGGATTTATTATTATTATTATTATTATTATTATTATTATTATTATTATTATTATTAAACTTAGAAGCTACAACATGTTTGCCCATGAAAGGTTAGAAAAATACCCAAAGACACACCTTCTGAAGATGGGGCCCAAGAGCCCTGAGATTTGTTTCTGATTGAGATTTGTTTCTGATTACCAGGGCCTGGGTCAAATTTCTCAGTGCAACAAAAACAGAAAGCATTGGCCCCAACTTCGAGAGGTGACCACCGCAATATGATTGGGACATCTAAAAGCAGTAAATGAAGCTGCCTCTCTATTCTAGCAAACTCTAAATGCCCTGCCTTTAACTGAAATAAATACAACCCCTGTTCCCAGTGGTCCGGGCAGCAGAGAAGTACTTGGCAAAAACCCAGGATGAGAGATAGGAGTCTTTGTTGGGTCACAGTCAAGGGCACAAGAGTCAGGAAACAGATTCTTGTCCTCCTGTCCCTAGACATTCCACACGAGATCATACAATGGCTACTTAAGAGCATCTGTTTGATAGGATTAATAGTGAAAAGACTTGCTAAAACAGACAAAAGACGCTAGCTCACCTGCTCCAACATCCTAGCATAGTGTCTATTTTTTTATTATTATTATTCTTTTTGGTTTTTCGAGACAGGGATTCTCTGTGTAGCTATGGAGCCTATCCTGGCACTCGGTCTGTAGACCAGCCTGGCCTTGAACTCACAGAGATCCGCCTGCTTCTGCCTTCCGAGTGCTGGGATTAAAGGAATGCGCCACCAACACCCAGCCATAGCATAGTCTCTATTACACTTTTTTTTTATTACACTTCTTTTTTTTCCCATAAACTTCACTAGTTTTGAATTTTTCACTTGTATCCATTTTGAGACAGGGCCATGAAAAGCAACATCCATTTTAAGTCTCCCCTGTAATCGAGAATGTTAACAGCCAATTTTCTCAAATGCTGACACCACTCAGCCTGACTTCGGGACAAAAACACTCATCTTTGCTTCTAATCAAAGCCCTCACTCACAGTTTATATACATCCATTTTGTTTTATTGTATTTTCGAGAGTTCCATCAAGTCGGTCTCACCAGTTCTATGAGTTTTCCCTTGAGCACACAAGTAATGATTCTTAGAAGGCAACAGCTGTGGGCCCACGGAGCTGGTGTATTTCTGTGGAAGCTGCAGTTGTTCGGAAGGTCAGCCATCAAATGGGGCTCATTTTTCACTTGAGACAAAGGCGGTGCGAAGGTCTTTTCAATTTGTATGAAATCGGGCTGCTTTTGTAGGGGCAAAAACACACGCAGAAGCCCAGTCTTCTAAAAAAGAAATGTTGTATAAGATTTATGAGTTTTAAGATCCATGAACCATTGGTCAAGAGATTAAGGTTTTAATGAGAGTTTGTAAAACAAATAGTAAGTAGAAGTTATGGCTACTTTTTAGGGCCAAAAGGATTCCTGTTATTCTTGTGACATGAGAACTGCTAGAATTAATATTAGGCCTGGAAAGTTAAAGACGGAAGTAACAGAGAGCATAGGAGCCCAGATGTTGACTAGCTGGTAAAATGTCGGCCACACAAGAATGACCCGCATAAAGAACTGAACACTGGGTGTCAGTCTGTAATCCTGCTACTGCGGGGGTGAGGGGGGTGCAGAGACAGAAGGATTTCTGGGGTTTCCTGGCCAGCCAGCCTACCCAATCAGCGAGCTCCAAGCTCAGTGAAAGATGCTGTCTCAAAAAAAATAAAAAATAAAAATAAGTGAAGTCAAGGAAATCACCTGACATTAACTCTGACCTCCACACACATGCACAACCATGTGTACCCACACACATATGTAGACACACACAGACATGTATACACACACAAAAGAAGTAATAATTGTGGATTTATAATCTTGCTTGTAGTCATTTTATATTTCCAATGATGTGTCTTGAGGCTTGAGTTTGAAGGCACAAACATTAATTATTTTTAAGTCCTTTTGACTAAGCTCTCCCCTTTGTTAACATCCCTTGCTTGGCTCGAGATGTTTGGTTTTGGTTGGGTTGGCCTGAAGTCCTAATTCTGCAGCTCAGGGATCAAACTCAGGGCCATGTGCACACAAGGTAAATACTGCTCTCTGCCTCTCAGTGGAGGTGATGGCCTGTTAACATTTAATTACCCAGAGAATGGCGGAGATCTCTGGGGTTCTACTGGTCATTGTCCACTTATCTCCTATTGTTCCGTTCTCCTCTTTCCCTTGGTTTTTTTTTTTTTTTAATCCTTTTTCTTAGGACTATTTTATCTCTTTTGTTGTTCTTCAACTGAAAGTATTTATTATTTTATTCCAAGATTTTCTATAGGGTTTATACTGTTATCTTATTTTTCAACCATATACATGCAAGTGATACATTACTTCACAAAGCATTTAAACAAACCTCACAAATAACGTCTAGTGCTCCCTTCCTGACTTTATGCCAGTTTTTAAGAATATGCTTTTATTTTTCATGTTGTAGATTCTGTTACACCATCATTGAAAACTTTCACATAAAACTCTTGTGTGCTCAGCTGCGCTGCCTCCTGCATTTCTGCATTTCTCGTTCCTTCATGTAAGCCCAGATTCCTCTCGCTATCATCCATTATCCTCCAAGACAGGTTCATCTCACATTTCTTGTGGGTCTCCTGAAGGAGAGTTAATCTAAGTTTTATATCTTCAATTCACCTTCTTATATTTGTTTTAAGCTCATTTTTGTTTGTTTACTTGTGACTAGGTCTCTTTGTAGCCCAGGCTAACCTTGGCATTCACAACCTACAAGTTGTGCCTCTGTGAGTCCTGAGAAATCCCAGGTAGTGTGTTTTATAACATAGTCTTGCCATCTCGTCCATCAAAGCAATAGGTATTTTCTGCTGGGTAGAATGCCTATTGTGATCTAGGCTCCTCGAGTTGAAGGATCGGTGAGAAGAGGTGAGGGATTATAATAAATAATCATTTGCATAATGAACAAACAGAATGCATACCATTACCCAATACAGCTATACCAAGTACAGCAGACCTTACTGTTCAGTTCATTAAATAGCTATACGAGAGTCTAAAAAAAAAGTCTATTAACCTTCCTAGTGCTAATGGAAATCTGGAGAAGTAATTATTTTTGTGTTTAATGAGCAACAACATAAAAATCAGCCAAGCCCCTCTTTGGGTCTAAACATTATCCCATGGTTGGTATAAAGTAAGAATGACCAACTCCTACAGATGAGGTATAAAGAGACAACAGAGAGACAAGAACCCCAAGGAAGTGGGTATTGGTAGAAAGCCATGGGCACAGGCTTCTGGGAAGCCAAAGCTTGGACACAAGCATCCAGACAGCAGAAACACACTTCATTTTGCATGGCTTCTTTGCTCCTCAAAAGTCAGGGGCCATATTACATTGCTCTCACTCAAGCTAATCTTACTCCCCAGGAATCTTGCTCTTTACCAAGAGCCCTTGCCAGAAGCCCTTTTAGGAAACAAAGAACAGCGTGAATAACTGTTCTCTGGTTAAGTTGTGTTCATAAGTTTAAACTTTCAAATATTGTTTTCTTACAGCGGGGCACACCCCCAGTGCAATGGCAGCTGAACAGTGTGGATTATTTACTGGGTGACTGTGTGAAAGGATGGGTCAGCATGGATGAAGGTGCAACTCTGCTTCAGGCATTCTGAGGACTGACTTCGCTGGGTCTGAGAAGTGCTAGGAATGATTAAGTGCTCTGATGATTAAGTTAATGGAAACCAAGAACCTTGAGAAAACATTAGGATGTAAGCTTATTTACCGCAGAGCAGGGGAAGTGGGTTATAAGCTCGCTCATCACTATCTTCAAAAACACACCATTCAAAGGAAAGACTTGTTAAAATGTGGAGTGAAAGCTTATCTGCTCTGTGAGATCAAACAGGACTGTGGGCAAAGAATATGAGGGAGACTGCAAGAAAGCCACTGAGCCACCTGGGGTGAGGGGAGGCATTGTCTACTGAGAATGTCCTTGTGGCTAACCATGAACTAGTACAGCAGGCAAAACATTAATCTAACCATAAATTAGAATGACATACAGCATGGTACCGTGTGTATGGTGTAAAATTTAGGAGAAAATGTGAATCCACCTAAATCAAATGTGTTGGCTGTAAAGTCAGCTCTGGGAAGCGGAGACAGGAGGATCCCTGTGCATTTGAGGCCAACACCGGCCTACCAAGTGAGTCCACGGGCAGTCTTGTCTACACAATGGGGTCCTCTCCCAAACACAGCTACAAAACAAGTTTAAATGAGAACTCCAAGGAAGCCATGGGCAGGATAATTAGTGAGAAAGGAGAAAGGCAGCACTTGATCCTTCCCGAGTCACCTCCTGCTTGACATTCAGTGCCATTGCCACCACTGTTAGCCCTTGGAGTCCCTGTGTTGTTAGCCCAAAGTAGCACTAGTGTGTACTTTCATTTGTTGATACATTGTAGAGCAGCTAAGCATCTCTTATGTACCAAAATGCAGTGGGGGTGACTGGGAATGCAATCAAGCCACCCACTCAGCACCCCTCTCCTCTTTTTCTTCTTCTGTTTAACAGAATTTGGGGGGGAGGTCATGTGTGGCAGCAGAAGGTGCCACAGAGACAGATGTAGCTTGGGATGAAGCAAGGCTTCTTGGTGGAGACTGGGCACAGAGGCTGCTGGGTAAGAAGTGTGCTGCGAGGCCCCAGAGCCAGTGGAGAGAATGGCTGCAACTGAAGCATTGCAGAGAAGTACTGCAGGGGGACCGCAGTACGTGCAGGATGACGCTACAGATCACACTAATGAGTTTGACATTTGTCCTAAGCAAGTGCTTGGAGGGTTTGTAGCTGGAGAGTGAGATGGTGAGCTGCCTTTTAGAAAGGTGAGCCCAGATGCTCGTGAGAACAGATCACCAGAGGAGGCTGGATGGGAAGTGTCCAATGACGAGGCATCAAGGACTTTCTCTGTGGAACTGTAGAGACACAAGCCAAATGAAGAATACCCAAAGGGACAGAAACTCCTGTCGGGGGCGTGATGGGGAATGTACTGTGTATGTTTATCTTATTGATTGTTAAATAAAATACTGTTTGGCCAATGAGACAGCAAGTTAGACGGGACTAGGAGTCAAAGAGGATTCTGGGAAATGTAGTAGAGAAGTGGTGATCCAGGCAGGAAGTGACATAGCAAGGAGACTCATATTTAAGTGAAGGAGAAACAAGAAGGTTCCCTTTTCCCCTCCCGTTCTTCCTCCAGCAGCACAATGTGATCCACCGGCAAGGAGGGACGCCAATAAGGCGTCCAATAAGATAAGTCTTATAAAATATATAGATTTATCACGATTAAGACTGAGCTAGCAGATGAGAAGTCCTAGTTATTGGCCAAGCAGCTTTGTACCTAATATGTCTCTGTATTATTGTGACAATCCACACGGTGGGCAGAACTCAGGCGGCTGGCAGAGAATGCCCATGTGGTGGTAGGGCTTGGGCGGCTTTTGGCAGAAAGATTTATCGTAACAGGGGTGCCTTGCAATGTCATATCCATGAAGCAGGAAAGAAAGTGGAGAAGGTGTTAAGGTGGTCATGACAGCCTGTGTGTGGGTGGGAGATGAGGACAACAGGGACACCCACTTTGTGGTCCTGGGCTGCAGTGGTGGGTTGATTAGGGAGTCAGTGTGAGTGAATGGAGCCATGTGGACTTGGCTAAAGAAACTGGCCCCTTGTTCTACCACAGAGACAAACTCTACACCCATTCCCAGGGTGACAGGAGTGGAGCATCTACCTTCCTATGCCATGCCAACAGGAAGAAGAAAACAGGGACCCAGGAGCATGCACGGTCATAATACAAAGGCCATGAACACCAAGAGTGGATTCAGAGGAAGACTGAGCCTTCCTCCATCAAAGTTGAAACAGTCTTATTGGTAGCCATGACAATATTTCCACAGAATACCTCAGAGCCCCAGGTTAGCACACACCTATTAAGTGCCAAGTGGGTGAGACAAAAATAAACATAACATGGAATGTGTCTTTCAGACAGGAAAGAGAACAGTCAAATGGCATGACCCGGCGGCAATGTTTAGAGAAAAAAGTTCTCAAGCAAAACCTGCAGACAGAGCTGAGCAGGGAAAGCAGAGACCAAGCAGGTAAGCAGGAGTGGAGGGGAATGAGCTGTATCACTTCGCCAGGAGATAGAGCATGAACTAGCTTTCTGGGCTGGGAGGTAATAAGGGAGAAAATAGCAGGGGACTGGGGGTGCAATACCTGGCTCTTTAGAACTCTAGCCTGGTGTGAATGAAGAACTGGAGGTCTTTCAAAACAGAAACAATATATTCAGTTGTA